CTATATTCTTTTCAGTGAACACAAATCATGAGACTTATAAACCATGGAAATTTCCATTTAGAATCTGTAAAGCTTTGAAAATTTTAAAATTAAGTCGCTCTTGAAAAAAGCCACATCTTTTACAAGGAAGAAAATGGGAGGAGCAGCAGGAGCAGAAGCTGTGGTGGTTGAGCAACTATCTTGATAGTATGGGAATTCTGGCCCAGGGGTGGGCCTTGCATGGCCAAGAGTAGGAGTGAGGAGTGCTTCATACTCTTGCAGTGGGGAAATGGGTGTGTGCACACAGACTAGATGTGCTAACAGCTTTTAGTGTCTTTAAGATTGAGATGGCATCAGCAAATGAATCAGTTTCTCCTTTCAGATCTCAGATAGGCCTACATGTACCTGAAACCATCCCCAAGAACAGTGTACTCAAGAAACCAACTATGGAGCTAAAGAAGACCGGCTTTTACTAAGAAAAAAAATCAATAACATGTATTAAAAGGTTTTCTCATTCTTTTATTTATTTTTGTTGTTGTTGTGGGCCTTTGTTTAGCTTAAGGCTTTTAAATGGTCTTGTTGGGCATCAAAATCCTTTTTAAACAAATATTTCCATTTCTAAAAGCAGAGCTCTCTGATCTTTGAGTAACCACATGTCTAGATCTACAGGCACTGCAGAAAAAAAGTCAATTTGCTGTAGAAGCAATTATATGTACTGTATAGGAAAAGGACAATTTTGCTGTACAAGGACCACACACTGTGTGTTTGCTGTATTATTTGATATCAAAGCAGAGACATCAGTTTTCCCTAAAACATAAATGAAATAAAGAGCCCGGCATAGGATCACCACATCTAATTCAGAGATATCCATTACAGTTCAGAGAGCATGCTATGCTAAGAGGACTGTTTTACTGGAAAGGGACTTCTTGTTGAACAGATAATATACCATGATTTCCTTAATTTTATATATCTATTGAGCAGAACAAGCATGAATTATAACCCTTATCATAAACATAAGTATGTTAGCAATGTCTGATGCTTTGTTAACACATCCTCAGAGTGTGTGAATCACATCCTGACCCAGCTGTTTGATTTATAGTAGTATAGTGTCACTATGAGGACTTTGATTCACGTGTTTAGTATACTTAATACTGTCTCTCCTCAGGCCAAACGTTGCACCAGGCATGCAAAGCTGAATGAGAAATGGCTTTCTGAGAAATACATTTTGAGGGTGGAACTCGTAAGTCAACAAACAGAACACATTTTAATATAGCATATATATGGGGAGAGAAGGGAAACAATTGAGCATACACTAGAGAAGAAGTGCTCAGGGGTGGCACACTGTCATGTCACTTTTAAATGAAGGGAGCTTCTTAGAGGGGTTAGGTGGTTGGTTGGGCACTCCAGGAAGACAACTTGCAAAAGTTCTAAGAGTGAGAGATCAGAAGCCCTCATGCCACCACATTTTCCTGCAACACATCTGTGTCTGAAAATGACCCTGAAGAAGCAGGGGCACATGCCAGCAAGGGCTCAGCACACTATGGCAGAGATTTTTACATAGGGCGTGCTTTTACGTAGTCCCCCAATACTTGGCTGATAAGTAATTTAAAAAGGATTATACTGGCACAGATAAAACAATTAGAACAGCATGATGCCTGCATAGAGACGGACGATGTCATGAACACAATGGGATATGAAGAAACGGTGTAGAACGCTGAGATGGGGATCACACAGAAGTTTGTTAATTGGAGTGCAGTTTCTCCAATAGTGAATGAAGGGTGGATTTTTCAGGTGGTCCCTGGACAGCTAACTAATCATTTTAAAATGAAGTTTAGTGTTTATACATAATATTATAAAAAGAATTTCTGGGTGAATTGAAAATGCCAATGTAAAATGTCAGAAAAAAATTTACTATCTTGGGGTTGCAAATGTGATTTTTTTGTTTGTGTTGATGTATTTTAGTATGATAGCGTTACATAGATCAAAAGAAAAATAGATATTACCACAAAAAGACTAACACATTACAGTTGTGATACAAAAGTCAAATTAGGAAAAATGCCTTTCATTTATGTAACAAAGAATCTGTACTAACCTTCTACAAATCTATAATAATAATAAAAAAGGACTAACCCAAGAGAAGTGGGTAAAGGCTACAAAGAGCTAATTCATAAAGAAACAACCTCTAATGACATAAAAATGTGTTCAGAGCCAGTACATATAATATAGCTTCGTTTCTTACTTATTGGATGGTAAACAGGTGGTGCACACTAATGACAGATTCCTCAAGCAATAATTCAAAATGTCCCATCATGGGAGGGTGAGGAGAAATGAAAATTCCTAAATATTGAGGGCACAAAGTCAATACATACATAGAAAGAAATTTCTTAATATCAATAAAATAAAATGCACATGACATTTGGTCCCTTAGGTTCATAGATATATAAAATATGTAAGCATATAAGTATGTTGTTTAAAATAGCAAAAATCTGGGGAAAACCCACAAAGATCACTGAAGATATTTATTTTATAAACTGTAGCACAAAAATAAATAAATGATTATGCTAGCATGGCAAGATATCATGATAGTTTTTTTTTTTAAATAATGACCAAGAAGAATGACATTCAAAGTACCATCTGACAAATGAGGTAGTGAATTTAATGGTTAGCTCCTAGGCTTTCAGCTTAAGTAGGTCTGGATTTGAGTCTTCACCCTTAACTTATTTCTAACCTCTCAAAGTGTAGTTCCTCTCTTTGTCCAACTGGAAGAGCACTTATCACACAGAGTTTCATGGAGAATTCCAAGTATTTGTAGTAATACTATTAAAATTTGGGCTGGTAAAAAGACACTTGTCGGCAGTTCTGACAATCCAAGCTCAGTCCCTGGAAGCTACATGGTGGAAAGAGAGAACCGACTTCCACAAGTTGTCACATGACATCTACACTTAGGCCGTGGTTTGTGTGCACACGGATGTGCATACACACAACAAAACCGACTGCATCTTAACATGCAATAGCTAACATCAAGAAAACAACTGACGTCAAACACTGCTGAGGATATGGTGAAAGGGGAATCCCTTACTGCTGGAACAGCCACTCTGGAAATCAGTGTGGAGAACTCCCACAAAGCTAAAAGTATATCTACCACACGATGCAGCCATCCCCCTACACAGATGCTGCTCTATTCACAATAGCTATGAAATGGAAAAAACCTAAACGGAAATGTGGTACAAAAACAAAATAAAATACTATTCAATTATAAGAGAAAAATGAAACTTGCAGATAAATGAATGGAGCTAGAAAATAGTATTTTGAGTGAGGTGACCCAGATCTAGAAATACAAATGCTGTATGTTTTTCTTTTATTTGTGGTCCCTAGTTCCAACATTTTCTTTGACTGAGGGATCGTTTCTTTTATCATGTCCTCAACAAATAGATCCTCTCTTCCACATCTGGCAATCTTGTTGATCTAGGTTTGTGTTTGACATCCTAACTTTTTTATCTGCAGTTTTATTTCAGTTTGGGTTTTCCTTAGTGATTCTATTTATTTAATTCTTCCTTCATGTTTTGTTTTCATTATTGAGTTTACCTGTTTGTATTTTCTCAGACTTCATTAATAGATTTATTTGTATCTTCCATAAAGTCCTTAAACATATTCATAATGTCTATTCTGAAGTCCTTGTCTTGTGCTTAAGTTATATTGCATCTTGAGGGGCCTATTGCAATGAGATTACTGGCTTCGAGGCATATTGTCTTGGCTGTTCATAATGCGTTTTGTCCTGGGACCTAAGCATCAAAAGTTATGACATTTGAGGTGTTTCTCAGTGTCTGTTAGGAATAAGTGCAAGGGGAAACTTGGCAGATTCCATGGCAGGCGAGGGTGAATGAGGCAGGAGACAAACATACCAGACAAACAGAGCTTGGTGAGAAGTTTCATTAGAAAGGGAAAGGTGGATGGGGGGGGGGAGAGAAAAGAAGTAAAGAGACACAAAGACAGAGAGAGGGCAGAAGAGAAGAGGGTGACAGTAAAAGTCCTATCTGCCCCAGAGGAACAGTGGGAAAGAAAGCATATATGGGTGGGAGTCTTTCTTTTAAAGGGGTTCTTTTCACCTTGTGCTGACCAGTGTACTGCCAGAGTGCATTCTGCCAGGTGATGGGGCAGGCCAGCATAATGACTGAATCCTTACAGTGTTAACATCTGGGCTTGTCTTTGTTGATAGGTGTTCTGCTCTTTGGTTGCTCTTGCCCTCTCTGGATCCTAAGCAAGTGTGGTGGCTTCAGAATCCCATATAGAGAATGCTTCTGTAAGTCCGATACTGATAGAAAGGATGGGAAATGGGCTAGGAAGAGAGACTGATTGGGGTCACCAGAAATAGCTAGGGAGACTGGGATCTGCACCAAGAAATGGAGTCCCCTAGGAACAGAGACAGAGTGGGAGAAGGGGTTCCTGCAAGCTGGCTGCTACAGGGCCAAGAGACTGTCTGGAGAATGGTATCAGAGTACAGGAAGGAGAGGAAATTGTTTACCTGAGTCCTGGTACAGGATGGTCACAAAGGGGTCCCTGGTATAAAGTGTTTGTGAAGATGGACAGCTGACTATAAGGTATGCAGATAGGCTAGAGTGGAAAGTGGAGAGGGTCCTGATTATAGATTCTTAAACCTCTACATAAACAAGGAATGAATTTGGGTATTATATTTAAGTCCCAAAGTAAAAATAACTATCATGTTTAGGTAAAACAGTTAAGAAAACTTCATAGCCTTAGTACCATAAATTATAAACAGCCCTAAGTCATCAGATTGGTTATTAATATTTTCTGGAGTATTTTTCACTATATATGTATTCAGTTCTCATTCAAATTAGGAAAAAATAAAATAAACTATTTGGAAGGCACACTTTTAAGAATATTTTTCCTAGTAAGACTAAGACTGGAAAGCAAGATATTGAAAACCAAGAAAATTTGCCAGGTAGAAATACATTAAAATGACTATATCAATATTCAGTCCATGTAGGAAAGACAACACATACCCCTCTCTTCGGAAGATCATCCGAAAGCATTCTCCTAAGCTTTTATAACTGTGTGGGTCCGTTGTATTTCTCTGAACCTGGAACCTAGAAAAAAAATCAAGCAACAACAGAAAAATTAAAAAAATTGGATGGATGTCTTTTCTTGTCTTTTAAAAGTCCTAGAAAGGTAACTTTCCCAGAGTGATTTAAAATATATTCATGGTTTTGATTATTGTTTTAGATTATAATATAATTACATTTTTTCTTCCCCTTTCTTCCTTCCATTCCCTTATATATACCCTTTTCCATTCTCCTACAAGTCTAAGGACTCCTTCTTTACTAATTACTTTACATATACATATTTATTCCTTGATGTGACTGCTTCAGTCCATATAATAATATATATCATGTGTGCATATTTTCAGCTGACCATTGGAAAATGAATTGGTGTGCTCAGGGAAGACTAACTCTCCTGCTCTCAGCTTTCTTCAGTTTCCTGTAGTCTTTTGTACAGAATTTAGACATCATAAGTTTTTGTCCAACTATATTGTCATCTTTGTTTGGTTCATGTTTGGTAGGTCATGTTGATAAGACTTTACTGACATAGCCTTTGATGTTACTAAGACTACAATCTCACAGCAAACTCCCTGATTGGCAGAATAATTTTTAAGCTCATGATGTGACAATGTTTGGTCTGTAAGAAATTCAGTCATAATATAATATAATATTAGTAGATTGAAAGTAATAGAAGCTTCTCTGAGATGGCTGAGCAATGCACTCATCTAAGGGAATATAGAAATATATCTTTAGGAGTCATCTTATTGCTATATTTCTGTATCAGAATAATAGTGATAGGTTTTTTCCTACCTAGTCTTAGGTTTTTGGCTCCAAATAAGCCCTGAAAATGTACTTACAAGTAATATTGTGTGGACTGCATAGGTTGTGTTGATATATATATACATATATATATATTCCTCATGCATATATATATATATGTATATATATATGCACGTAATGATGAGTAATAAAGAAAAAGGCTTTGAACTTAGCAGGATAGTTGTAGAAGACTGAAATTAACACAGAAACCCACAACTGGACAATGTACAGAGAGTGAGGGACATGGAAGATTCAGTATTAAGTGAAATATCTTCAACACATACTTTCTCTTAAAGTTTAGAGATCTATGAAGAAGAGAAGATAGAAAGATTATAGGATATAGAGGTGGTGAATGACTCCCAGAAAATATCATCTTCTAGACTAAATAAGGAACACACAGAGACTGTGGCAGCTTGCATAAGACCTGTATGGGTTCAAACCAGACAGAATCCCAGGACTGAGAAAGGCAAGTGAACACAAAATCCCACCCTTTACCAAGAAGTTATTTGAAATTGATACTTGATGGGAAAGGGAAAATTAGTTTTTGACAATGGAGTATTACTGAATATGTCAATCACACTCCAGCTCAGGCCCCATGCCCAAAGATAGTTGGCTAACACAAATCAGACCCCAATTTTTTGTAGAGGATGGGATTTGGTTTTTACTTGATTTGTTTTGGTATGTTTTGTATTGTTGTTTGTTTGCTTTGACTTTCACTTTGTTTTAAGAGAAAGAGAGAGAGAAAGAATATCAAGTTGTGAGTAGGAAAAGTAGGGAAGATCTAGAAGGAATTGGGAGAATGGAAAACATGATAAAATATTGTATATTAAAATTAATATATTGTATATTAAAATATATGTATATTAAAATTAATGGGAGATATGCTATGCTAAGAATCATAAAACAGTGTTAACTATACTATACAGATATTAAATAAAATATATTTCAGAAATTCCTTGAAATCTAAAAAAGAAAATTCTCAGGGTTACTATGGATTTCATTGTTTTGTTGTTCTTATATAACTTTTGCCTGATTTCTGCTATTACCTTATTACTGGCCCTTTGTACTTTACAAGGGCCCATATATTGGTTTCTCAGCCAGCCAGACACATCCTAAGGCACAGATTGTGTGTGTGTGAAAAACATGCACAGATGCCATACATTGTTTTGATACATACTTCAGAAATCTAAAGATGTGTACTAAAGAAATACACAGTTAAAGCTTTAATTAATGTTACCTAATAGACACTTAATAAAAAGGTTTAAAAGTACAGAGTAATTAATACGGTACAAGTTAGACTCCAAGAATGAACGAAACTAATTCTGCTAAAATTTACCATCATGACTTCACCTTGGGACAAGGCCTTTGCAGAAGTGCAATACTCTGCACATAGCTGCTGATCAGGGAAGATGTGCTTCATTTCTGAGTCATCCTCTTTTCCATGGTATAATCATTTATCTTCCACTGTAGCCTACTAAATGTAGAGGCCTCCAATATGACAATTTTACTTTTCCTTGTGTTTGCCCTGAGGTCTATTTCTAAGATGTAATAATAAATATTAATTTTTATAATATGTCATTTTTAATTCACTCTCTGTTTTATCTGGTCTGTTTACTCTTCATTTTTAGCTCTTTATCCTAAATTCTTATTTAAGGCCATTCTTCCTCCTCTGATTCCTGCCATAATTTCATCTGTTTCATTTTTTTCCCCTTGTAGGTGCTTTTCACAGTTAACTCTGATATTATCTAGTTCAAAGTATTTTTTTTATATCATTATTATGATAGTCACACTTCTAGGGATAACATTATTTTTTTCCAAAATATTTTTTCTTATTTTATGTATCAATCCCAGTTCATTCTCCCTCCCATCCTCCCATGCCCTCCACTGATTCCCCCATCCCATCCTCTATCCACTCCTCAGGGAGGATGAGACTTTCCTAAAGGATTATCAAAATCTGTCAAGTCATTTGGGGTAGGGCCTAGGCCCTCCCTTGTGGTGTCTCTAGGCTAAGGGAGTATCCCTCCATGGGCTCCCAAAGTCCAAGGATAACATTCTTTATAGTTCTAACCCCTGAGGAATTATACTCAAAATCCAGATTCATCACAGACAGGAGTGAATTATCACTCTGCTCGAACCCACTGGGCAACCTAAGTAAAGCTGAAATTACATTGGATTTTGTAAAATGGCAAGGAGATAATTTTGGGGGTCGGGGCAGCATCTGTCTAGGGATGTGTCAGTTAAATCTTCCAGAAAAGTTCCTGGCACAAACAAATCTTAAACTAATATCCAGTGGCTGTCTGGGTAATATAGAGGTGGAGTATGGAGTGGAGAACAATTGTGAAGGCAGAGGGAACCTCCATGTGAGGGCATGATGTCAGAATGCAGAACAGCAGGCATGTAATTAAAGGTGTGCAGATTTGGGGTAGTCTTTTTCCTCTTTAATTCATTTTTTTTGTTGTTGATATTTCAATATGTGCTTCTGCTAATCTTTAACACAGCAAGCAATATTCCACACCACTGTGCTGGCTATTGTTAAACTTCAAAATGTCATATTTATATTAGCAGTGTGGGGCTTTTAGTCACAGCTGCAGCTGCACTGGCACAATCAGTTTAGAAGCTTGGTTTCTGAACAAGAGCTACACTCTTAAATTTGAACTCTTTAGAGCTATGCAGATATTTAATCTGTGAGTCCCTTGCTGGGAAATAATAAGAAATCAACTTCAATCCCCAGGACCCACGTGAAAAAGCCAGGAATGCTAGTGCACACTCAGATTTATAGCACTGGAGAGGTAGAGACAGTGGGATTCCTGTGACTCTCTGGCCAACCAGTCTCTCCTACTTGGCGAGCCCAAGCTTAGTGAAAAACCCTGCCTCCAAAAAGCAAGATGGATTGTACTTGAGGAATGACATCCAAGGTTGTTATGTATACGTGCATACACAGAAACATACACTCACATGTACACACATATGCACACAAACATGTGTGCAAACATGCATGCATAATAAAAAAACTAAATATATTAAATGTATCACAAGAGTATGAACTGTGACATCTGGCTCACTCAGCCTGTTTTAGATACAGAGGGGCATCTGTGTGTGTATACCACTTGCTTGAAGTACTCAGAAAGAGGTCTGTCTAGAATAAGAATAAGATTTGATGGTTTGGGAATTTCAAGACTACATCAGATAGATGAGATAGTTTTGTATTTTAAAATAATTTAACACTATACAGAAAATAATGCAATGGTAGAACCATCTATGGGTTTGTACAATAAATAGCCATATAGCATACAGAGCAATTTACAAAATATGATTTGGGTTTAGCCCAAATGACTACCCCCATTTCTGCATTTGAACATTTGTGGCCTGAGGTCATTGTTGATTATGACACATTTTCTCATGTTTAGTTGAGAAATCAAAAACTCTTCTATTGTAATTGTTTAATAAAATTATTTACAATATTTGCTTTTATTGAAAAAACTTCACATGTATGTAGACATTTCTCCTGATATCTGAATATTATTTCATTAAATATCTTTACATCAGTCAAATTCTTTTATAGATGCTTTTCTTTTAAACTGTCAAGTTTTTTTTCTTAATCTTACAAAGATTCAGAACATTATGTCCAACTTAAGAAGCATGATAAAAAAAAGTGAGAAAAAAATTGAAAATGTAAGAGTCACTGCTAACCCCAAACACCTGAAATGTTAAGTAGCATTGGCATGGTGTTGTCAGGGCGTTGGTGGGATTACTGTTCTCTGTGAAGGCTCAGGGAGAGACTCACAAAAGGAAAAGGGGTTGCCTATTGGAACTCAATAGGCAAACAGAGGCAACCAGTGGAAATCAGTCCAGGTAGGGAAGTGTGCAAAGGCCCTTGAGGGAAAGATGTGCTTCCTAGTGGAGAAATTAGGGAAGCATCCCTCCACATCAGCAGCCTGCCTGGGTTTCCTTCAGGAAGATGCCATGACACCCTGCTAGCACTGTTTGCTCAGGACGGATGCAGACCTAATCAGCCTCAGAGGAGGGTACCAAGGTGAAAGGAACCAAAGCCCAGCAGAGGATATTTATCTTTTTCTCAGCTCTGTAGCTAAGTACTTCATCTCTCTGGGTGGCCATTGTACAGATGTGTGACTCTGCTTCCAGGCAGTACTGTGAGTCAGCAGATAAACTAATAAAGCACATCCAAATTATAGTCAATGTTAAATTAACCCCTCTTTAGCTGCTAAGGC